TTTTATTTTATTTTAAACGGACGTTAGTCCAATAACAATTTACATGGGTGTAAAGTAAGATACAAGAATAAAAAACAATTTTATATAAATGCGAAAAAGTATACAGTATTATGAAACAAACTATTATAATATAAATGAATATAAAAACTCAGAAAAGTTCACTAAAAATACAAAAAATCATTTAAAAAAATCAAACAAATATATATTACCAGTTGTCATCAAAAGGTTTGCAGGGGAATTTAAAATGTAATTTTTTTTTGAGAATTGAGGATAAAAAGGTTTAGGATTTCTAGTATTAATATTATTTATTTTTAAATTAATTAATGATAGGAGTTCCGGACAATCAATGAGTCCTAATAATAATTAATGTAGAAATTTTGAAATCAAAAGCATTCGACGTTCTTTGAGTGTATTAAAATTAAGGTAATTAAGAATGCTGTCATAAGAGCTATGGGGAGGTCTGTGTATGTTAAATTTAAATGAAATAAAACAGAGAAAATTATTTTGAACAGATTCTAGTGCGGTGTTTTGTTTAGAAGTATTGTTTAACCAAATTAGAGGACAGTATTCAAGATGGGAACGTACAAGGGAATAAAACAGAATTTTTAGAGGAACAGGATCTATAAATGAGCCACAAGTGCGTTTAATAAATCCCAAATTACGCATNATTTAATAATTCCCAAATTACGCATAGCTTTATTTCTTATCATTTCTGTGTGAGGGGAGAAATTTAATTTAGAATCAAAAATAACGCCTGTTTGTGTCTGTTACCACTTTTTCTCAGCTCTCACCGAACGGATTTCTTTCAATGATACGTCAAAAGATCACAAATCGTATCTAGTCGAATATATTACCCTTAAAAATTGAAAAAAAATTCCCCCGTTCCCCGTAAATGAGGGAAACCTCCAAAAAAATTACAAATTTAAAAATCGCTAATTTTCGAAATTTTTTCAATTTTTTTTTACTAAAATGTGCCGTAACTTTTTCAAAAATGATTATATCAATATAATTTTTTTTTTTTATAGGTGCTTGATGTCTTTACCTATCATTTGATATATCATTTTTTTTGTAAATTTGACCCTTTAATTGCCCACAGGGGGGGATTTAAAATTACAACTTTTTCACAAAAAATTAACTTTTTCAACTTAACTTTTAAAAATGTTCTGAACATTTTCAAAAGTTGAAGGTCTGACACTTTTATACATATCTTAAATTAAAGCTAATGTAATATACTTTAATTTAAAAAAAAAAAAATTTGACCTCTGGACTTGTCTTCATGGTGAAAACGGCTACCGAATGCTATTTTTGTGTGAAAATTCTCGATTTTATTATTTATATTATATTTAACTTTATAATGCTATAACTTATTGAAAAGTTTATGGATCCACACAATTTTTTTAAGAGAAATAATATTTTTTAATAAACCCTTTTTCATTCGACATACTTTATCTTAATCAGGATATTAATAAGGAACTGGCAGTTTATGAAACTTGGAATAATCCACCAATTTTTTAAAATTAAACACTATCTAAAGATTTGCATCGAAACGTTTTTTTTTTTATAGTGATTTTAATCACTGTCAGATATCATTATACTTGATCCAACTATGCCACGTCACCACTGTGCCGTGACCCCCCTGTGCTGGGTTTTTTATATATCATTAGATTTATTCAATTGAAAAATAATATTTTATATTATTCGATTTTTACAAGTTTTTGACAAGTTACAACCATTTAAAGTTGAGTAATGGTCAGAAGAAACATTGTCTTATTTTATATCGATAATTTCTACCTATTCATAGAAATTTAATAAACTGTACACCCCTATCATGTTATGAATTAGTAGCACTTATCAATTTACAACCCAATAAAGAAAATACAAAATTTTAGGTACACAAATGACATTTCAATGTAAAAACAATTTTGTTCCTAGATATTTAAAAATTATTCTAATATTCTTTTTGATTTTCTACAAAATAAGTCTAAAATTTTTGTCAAAAGTTTTTTATTTTATGTTCTTTATAGGATAATTATTATGGTAGTATAAATTAACAAAATTTGATAAGTATCAACAACAAAAAAAATGTTAATATTATTTTCAGTTTTTATATAATAATATATAAATTATTTTATATATAATATTTTTTAGGAAAAAGAAATAAAAGAAGAAGTTTCTGAAACTAAAGAACCCGTTGATCTTCAAAAGGACAATACTGCAGAGGAAAAACCAGCAGAAAATAAAAATGAGAAAGAAGACACTGAAACTGAAAATTTGAAATCTGAACAAAAAGAGTGTAATTCAAATGACCAAAAAGAAACCACAGATAAAACTGAAGAAGAAATAGAAAATGAAGAAAAGGATAAAGAAAAATCCAAGGAAGAATCCACAGAATCTAAAGAAGTAAGTAACTTATTCTTTTCTATGATTTATACTACTAAACAAATTTAATTATTTAAGATAAGAAGTTATTATACTAATTGTTAATTCTTTTTAATGTCTCAAAATTTGTGTAAAGGAAATTCATTAAAGAATTCATGGATTTTTTTTCTTACAAAATTAATATCAAAAATATATATTTTAGGATGAAAAGAAATCAGCTGAAGCTTCATTAAAGGTGCAACAAGCTGATGATGAAGCTAAACAAAAATTGTTAGAAGAAGCTGAAAGAGCTAAAGTTGCTGCAGGTATTGGAACTGAAAATGATAAAGAAGACAAAATTACCAGAAAATTCATGTTTAATATTGCTGATGGTGGATTTACTGAACTTCATACATTATGGGTAAATGAAGAAAAAGCAGCTGTTCCTGGACGTGAATATGAAATATGGCATAGACGGTAAAATAGAATTAAAACCTTTTTTTTTTTTTTTAAATAAATTGTGATTTCAATAAATATTATTTTAGTCATGACTATTGGTTGTTGGCTGGTATTGTAACACATGGTTATGGTCGTTGGCAAGATATTCAAAATGATATTCGCTTTGCTATTATAAATGAACCATTTAAAATGGATGTTGGCAAAGGAAACTTTTTGGAAATAAAAAATAAATTTTTAGCTAGAAGGTTTAAGCTCTTAGAACAAGCACTTGTTATTGAAGAACAATTAAGAAGAGCTGCTTATTTAAATCTTACACAAGATCCCAATCATCCAGCTATGTCTTTAAATGCTCGTTTTGCTGAAGTTGAATGTTTAGCAGAATCTCATCAACACTTATCCAAAGAAAGTTTAGCGGGAAATAAACCAGCTAATGCTGTTCTTCACAAGGTATTTTCATAAAAAAAATTACATCCCATTTTATCAATAAATTTTACTTATTAGAAAACTTTCATGGTATTCATTAATATTATTGTAATACTTAATGTTCATAAAAATATATAATATAATATCATTTGTATAGTATTTTAAAATATAATTTATTTATCACCATCAAAATTAATTTTATATATCATATGTTTTATTTTTGAAAACATACCAATTCTGGGTATTAAAATTTGAGAACTAATTACTATTTTTTTTAATTTTAGGTATTAAACCAATTGGAAGAACTTTTATCAGACATGAAATCTGATGTTAGCCGACTGCCTGCGACATTAGCACGCATACCACCAGTTGCTCAGAGACTTCAAATGTCTGAAAGATCCATTCTTTCTCGTTTGGCAGCTACAACATCATCTGCCACTTCTAGTTCTCAGCAACAACCTGGAGGTAATTCTATTGAGAATTCATTCTACTCGAACAAGATTTTTAAGTTATTATTTTTATTTTCAGTTGGTGCTATTAGTAATCAGTATCCTAATGGCTTCCAAAATGGTCAGTTAAATGGAGCATTTGGCAATACCAATTTTACTAACTTTAGACCTCAGTATTCTGTGCCTGGTCAACAAACTTCATCATCAGGCACTGCTTAAGTGTCATTTATGTTTTATAATATTTTTACAGTACCTTTATTCTTTGACTCTAGATCTCTATCTAAAAAAAAAAATTATATTTTCTCCATCAGTTGATTAAATAATTTGAACTATTTGATCATTTTCGTAATTTATACTACAATACATTGAATTTTACATTGAAAACCATTTGTAAAAAATTAATATGTTTTTCTTTTGTGATGATTAGTGACCAATTCATTTAATTACTGCAGTTGCAGCGTCCATATGTTTTTTTTTTTTTTTTTTTTATATATTTTACAATCAATAAAATGGACAACTATATTAGCTTAAATGTATTTACTTAATAACTTTTATTTTTAATATTTATTTTTTTTAAGGGTTTTAATTTATATTATAAGGAAATTTTTAATTTCATTTTAATGATACTTTAGAAAATCAATAAAGTTAATACAACTTATTTTCCAAAGTATTTTGTGGTGTAAGCTATTTTATAACATGAACAACTCTTATGACATATTTTCCAGTTACTAATTTGCTGAAGTATTTCATAAAGGATCCTTCAATTATGTTATTGTTAACTAGGTTTGTATTCCTTTTTTATAAATTATTATTTTGTTTTAAGTATAACTAATTCTAGGTTTGAAGCAACAATTTGTATGGGTCTCATTATCACTTTCTGTTTCATAACTAAATATTTTAATTGATATATATTGGTGATTTTTTTATTTGAAATTAAAACACAAAAATCACTTGTATCACTTGAATGTCTATAAATTGATTTTAATATTGACACATTAAAATAAAAGCTGGGGTGTAGGGCATAAATTAATTTTTTTATTATTAAGCATTTTTGAGTATTGCCTCTCTTCAGATATGAAAATACCTTGTAAAATATCTAATCAAAAGTTAACAATCGGTCATCTTATTCAATTAAATATTTTTACGCATTAAAAAATAAAGAAGTATGCTACTGCAATAAAAGTTTAAGTATAATCAAATTTTTAATGCGGTAACATACTTTAAGTATAGGAGTGACTGGTGGAACTATGGTCAGTGGGTAATACCTGTCACCTCATTGTCTAATAAACCCATGCATCTAAAATTATGTTGACCATATATATATAGATTAAGAATGATAAAAAAAACTTCTTATTAGAACGATATTATCAAAAAAACGTTTTCACGTTTAAATGTGTAAAAATAGTTTTCAGCGTTTATCTAAAAAAAATTTAATTTAAGGTAAGTAAATTATTATATATTTATAATTGATATTTCAATGATTTTTTTAAAAATAACTTTCCCTATCTTTTTGCATGTATTTATGTATGGCCGATATTCCACCGTGGTAAAAGGAATGCCGGTCATTTGCATTAAAAAAAAATTATTTTTATAAATAAAATTATGTTTTAAAAATCTGAGACTGACTAATGCAGTCAATATGTTAATGCATCTTTTGTAGTATTAGCAAAACATATAGTCTTAGAACCAGAGATTTAACATTTTTGCTAAGGTGACCGTAGTTTCTAAGGTCTTCCCTACGTTTATATTATATTTAAAATCAAAGAAAGGTAATTTAAAATTTTATAATATACAATGTATATAACTAAAAAATGAGCATATTTTAATAATAGAGCTAATGGGCATTTTCTATTTTGGTCTCGTTGGAATTAAAAATTAACAAACTTAATTTATCAATACTAGTTTTGAGCATAGTTAAGCAATTCGTCGCCTTGTATTTAAAATTTTTAAATATATTGAAGGGAGGTAAAGTATAACTCGCCCCTCATTATGAAAATCTTGAGTACGCCTCTATATTGAAATAATCGTATACAAAAAATAAAACTAAAAATATTTAGAATGTTATTTTCAGCAATAATTATTAAGTAATGTTAGAAGTAAATATTTTAATTTTGGATGAATATCAATATGTACTTAGAAAATATAAGATCAAATCGATATTCATCATATTTTATGAAAATCTGTGGATTCTATATACAGGAGAGTGTAAAGCCACTTATACAAAGGGGTGGTTAAATTTTCAAAATAAAATTAATCTCCACGTGTTTAAGAAAACGGAGTTATCTGTATTTAAGCATATATTTCTCATATCCACGTTTAAGAAAGTGCTAATTGAATGATTAGCAGTCTTAAAAGTCTAGTCTTATGTTATAAGACCATGGATAACAATTAGAATTATACACTAAAGACAATATACCGAAGTCTTATTTTAATAGAATAACAATTTTAGTAAATCCGGTGATATAATTGAGGAGGGGAATAAACGTTTTTGAATTAATGTCTACATGTTGCTCAGTCCTTTCAATAATTTCAGAAGAGCAATTTTCAGTATTAAAATGTAATTTAAATAATTCTGTAATTTGGTCTCTATCCGATTTATTTATTCGTATGGCTTAACAAATCATCAATAAAACAAATCTAAGTATTTATAATGAAAAAATTGAAAAAGTTATAAGTATGTATAAAAAATTTACTATTTCAAAATGTAAATATTATATTTAAAAAAAATATAAACGAATATTATATTGATAAGTGATGACTGATATCACTGCACAACAAAAAAATAATTTTTTTACGTTAAACAATGTCAGAAGGTTCTAAATAGAAATTTGTAGCTGATTCCTAATCTTCTCTTAAAAATTTTAAAGTAATTCTAGTTTTTGAGATAATCACCAATTAATTGCTCATAAACAAAAAAAACTATTTAAAACTTAAATGGGCTATATTAAAGTACTTACAAAATTTTAAATCTATACCTCAAGTATAAACCATTACACATAGCTTTCTAAGTTGTTTTTGATAGTAATTTTACAAAAATCAAAGCTGAACTTTTTCAGTAAATATTCATAGTAAATCTTTGGTCCTTCTACATCTTATACCGTCATAGTTTGCATAGGTACTATAGAAGCCAGTACACATAGAAACATTCATAAAAATGAATTGAATTTTTCGGGTGATGATGTAGTGTGGTAGAATAATTTCAGTCAATTCCTTTACACAAATTGTAATGAAATATGAGACTATAGCTTTCAAAAAGTTTTCAAGCTACGCTCATTGATGTTTTTATATTTAATATATCAACAATAAAATAATTACGCCCTTATATAAGTGTAACCCTCATTTATTCCCTTGATGATTATTATCAATTAAACGTAGACGAGTTATTCATCATTTATTTAAAAACACAACATAACTTCATAGTAAAATACAAGTACAGTATTTTAATAAGTATGTGACATTAGCTTATAAATGAGTAACAGTTGTATGAATTGAATTCCACCGCAATGGTATTTACGGCCTAGCACTTTTTGTTCTGGGCACGACAAACACGCGGTTATTTAGTTGATTTCTAAAGGATACCCTCTAGTATAATAGCTCACAGGGGTTGGTATTCCATACCCGCAAGGTTGTTTACAAGCCTATTCCACACGTGGCTACGTCGCGGGATATGGTTAGGATTCGAATGCCACATTAATAGAGGTTTATTGTGTGAAATGTTCAAAGACGAAGGTAGTTAAATAGCAAGAGAAGCGAAATCTACGATTGCCAATCATCAATATATAATCTTTTATGTTGTTTTTCTCATACTTAACAACAAAATACATAGAAAATACCTAACTCGTATCTATTCAACATTCATTTACTAGAATTTAATAAATCTATCGTGCGTATGCATTTTTCTGTAACTACCTACGCAAATAATTTTTAACTTTTTTCATCTAAACACTAAAACATGTCAATACTTCATAAATAATTTATTGTTGTTATGATATTTTAATTGTAACTAAAATATTTAAAAAAACATACAATTTTAACGCAACTCTGTGTAAAAAATGTTGACATGAGTTAAATGCCGTAAAATTTCAACAAAATTCGTTTACAAAGGAATATTTGATAATATTTCGTTTCTATTTACTAATGTATCAAGGTCGTTTTTTCGGTTTGGGGTGGTTATGTTAACACACATGTCCTGATCATCGCGTACGATTCTGAGAATTTAGTTTACAGGTAGCTTCAAAAATAATCTTGTAAATTATAGTAAACGAACACAACGTATCGAAAACATTTCATACAAACACATATACAGCATGTTCAGTAAGTAAGGAAACATGTCAGTTGTTACAAACAATGAGAATGATAGAAACCCGTTTCCTCACTTATTCAACACTCTATATAATATATTTCACAGAATAATCACTTTTTTTGTTCATTCAACCTTATCTTATTATGCATTGTTTCAAAAAAAAAATACTTCAAAGGACAAATGTTCGGCCATTATTGGTTTAATTGTTGGCCACAAAAATTTTTTTTAATACTTTCGAGTAATTTAATTATTTTATATATTGTTTAAACAAGATCAATTTTTTAAATAAAATTTCAGAGGTTAAAACTGAGTATGGAAAAATGAAAAAAACTGTTAACATTAACATGTTGAAAACACTTTAAATTACAAAAACCTACATCGAGTATATTTGTTTCAAAATATTTAATATCCACCGAAAGGGGCAAGGAAGTTTGCTATACAATAATTTGATTAATATTGAATATTTATAAAAAAATAACTACATTATATAAAATACATTTCAGAAATTTAATTTGTCAATATTTACTCAGGACTATTATTTGTTAAAAAAATTCTGACTTTTTATGAATTAGTCAATACAGATCTCCATCATTTGTTAAAATTTAAAGTGTGGCGATATATTACTTCTCAGTTAGGTAAAGACATTTTATAGTTATTAAAAAAATGTATTATTTAACTTTAATTAGATATTTTATAGTAAAAAATCGTTTAAAAACTGTTAAAACTACGAGTTAAAAGTTATTTTAATGTTTTGAAAATACCAGTTGTGTGTTCTAATAAATCCAACATAATTACGAATTACTTATTACCAATAAACATGTCTTATCTTATGACTAATCATAATTGTAAATAAATAAATAATAATCATAAATATATTAATTTCGCTACAATTTTCATGTTTTAATTTATAAAAGATGACAAAAATTTCAAATATAAAAATACAAACGATTGTATCTATCGACGAAATTATTGAATACTAATATCCTGGGATTCTAAGGAACTGGTCAATTTATACTCTTTATACCAGCCCACTAGAAATCCCAAAGAATATCAGCTTCTTATTGAGGTTAAATTTAACTTGAGCTGTGCAATGTTAATAACAATATTGCATTGTATAAAAATCTCTATAGATATATTAAAACTTAAAATTAGAATCAAAACAAAGTAAAAAATAAAATTACTAATACATACAAGTTAATATTTGGCGATATGATGTCACACC